GGAGTAGCCTTATTTTGGAATTTGGGACTTGTGTTTTTTTCCAGTTTAAATTTTGCAAGAAGATTTGCAAAGTAAACTTATTCAAAAACCCACAGGATGAAAAAAAACCATCACACACATTAACCTTAAAACAGTTTTTTCTTTTAGAGTAAGCGGTGACGCCGGCGTGTTTGTCAGCATCACTGCAGCGTTTGCTTAGTGAGCAGGTTCACACTCGACGAGCCCGTGACGTTGCAGACAGCAGCAGAGAAGAAAGAGCAAAGTAAAACGAAGCTGAGACGCTTCAAAACAGGAACGCACGACCGCAACAAATAAAAAGCACATCTGCTCGGCTCCTCCTCCTGTATCGTCAGCCTCTGTCATGACTTGTGGTGACATTTGCAGCTCAGCCAAAAAACAGAAAACACCCCCTTAGACTCAAGGCTCCCGATGTGATATCCTGGCTGCCCTTGTCCTTCTCCCCGCCCAGGCTGACCCGGCGCTGTGGGGATGGCCCTTGTGCGTCATGCCCTTTCTGGAGGCATCGCACAGCAGCCTGGTGACTCAGCAGTCCGAGGCAGCAGGATGGATGTGAGGCAGATTTGTGTGTTTGTGTGAAGAGGAGGAGGAGAAAAAAAAAAAAAGATGCAGCTGTTTGAATGAGTGACTCAACGCTGCTCGTCACAAGCTTTGAAGAACTGATTCTCTTTCATTAATGCTATGAACATGCATGTGGGTGCAGGCTGTCACGCAGCTTGTGAATTGACAGAGCGTATAGTGTTTGATTAAAGGTCAAGATTTACACAGATTTATTTATCTGTGTAAAGTGTTTGAGTGAGTGGGCTCCTGACCTTTATGTATTTGGATCCATATTAGCCTCCATAAGATATGAGAATAATTTATAAGCGCTATTAAGGGGAAATTCGCCATTTTATATGTATATACATTGTAAAAAGGGTTACACATAAAAGATGGTGAAATTGTACAGATAGATGTTTCACCCTGTTTGATGGTTTGTTGATTGGTTTTGTTTTTTAATATTTCTGGGAAACTTGTTGGAAGGATGTTGTTTGAGTTTAGGGAAGAACTCAAACCTGTCTGACACTGTGAGATAAGGCATTTTTCAACATTTTCACCTTTTTCTCAGGGAATAATTCACGGATTTGGATTTTTTTGTGTGTGTGTGAGATCTGCCGCAGCTTGATTGGAATCAAAGGGACTGTTAGGCCTTGAGATTGTAGATGAATGAAGTTCAACCAATTTTCTTTGTGTCCTTGTGGTCCACACAAGAGGATTTTTTTCATGAAGGTGACAAAGTCCCAAAGCAGGAAGTCAAAAGACTCGACAGGCCCCATATGACATTTTCCATAAGGCCCTGACACCGTGAATGACTCAGTGTCACGTTGCTCTCTGTGGTGACGGGAATGTCCCTGACTCCACAACCAATTTACAGATCCTTAAAAAAGACCCCTGTTCCCAACACGACAGAGTCAGAGGTTACTGACAACGAAGGGATTTTCCCTCTTGAAAAATGTATCTGTGCCTCGGACTGTTAACAGATCTACGACTCTCGGTGTTAACACGTGGAGAGTGAGTAATAATATGCCAAGGCACCGTGATGTGGAGGAATATTAATAAGGACCTTTTCATCATGTAAAAATCCATCATGATCTCAAGATAACTTGTTTAGAAAACACGACATTTTACTCCCAGTCACATTCTTTCTGACGGATATTATACATAAGATATTATTATAATGGGATTTGTTCCAAATGTCTTGGTGTCCGGAATAAATCCCTCTAAGTCTGTGGATATCCCCTGACTTCTATTCATCTCGTGGCAGCAGCTGGTTGATATTTACATGGATTCAGAGGCTGAACACAGAAGAGTTTGATCCCTTAACTTCACAGTAGTAGGTCTGCGTATATGTCCAATTTCTGGGTTACCAGCAAGACGTTTGGGCGTATATTGTGTTTAGTGCATATTTATCCAACTCAAATGCTGTTTGTGTCCAGAATCACAGAGCCACGGGCATGGCTTGTTTCATTGCTGGCTATCCCATCATGCATTCTGAGCCAAATACAGGGAAACACTTCAAAAAAGGCTGTAGGGTTATAACAGAGGGTTTATACAGTATAGCTGCATGTATTCAGACAGTCGGAGGAGCATGTTACTAATAACAATGTCTCCCTCTTATTCATTCAATGTGGTTAAATCTTTTGTTTAGCGAGAACATTAATTCATCAGTAGTTTAAAACCCGCGGGAGATTTGTGGTTTCCTCTGAGCTGCGGGTTGATAACACACAGAGTCAATACGGAGTCACTACTCTTCTTCAGTGACCGTGCAGCTTATTAAAACGTCTCTCAGTTCACATCAGTTACTTCTCATCATCACCCACTTGATCTTCTTTTTTTCTTCAAGTCATTTTTCGGATCAAAGAAGCTCCAATAAATCAGTGGTTAAATCCTTGATCCAGATTAATGTCGTTAATGTTTCAAGGCCTGTGCATGTGACTGATGAAACATTTGGTCTGTGGTGAGATATATCGTGCTTCTAGTTATTTATCATTGTGGTTACAAGTAATTCATTCTTTTACTTTTTCATTTTGCATCCACATGTTAAGCATTCTGCTGTTCCTCTGCCTCTCATCTCCAGAAGCTCTCAACGCTCATCTTTCCAAGTTGACGTCTTCGTCAAAGTTGACTCTGGCAATCTCGCATATGCCCCTGAAACGTCCGTGCATGTCTGAAAGCAGTTTTAAATGAGTATTTCTATTGAGTATAGTATATATATCGAGTATGTAAATGCGTATTCCTATTTTCTGTTATGTTTCTGCACAAAGTTTTGAAAAGTTAAATTCTCAGGTTTTAGAATTACCTTAACCTCCTTGTCTTTCCCCTCACAACCCCCTCAGGCTGTTAGACCCCCCCTCCCCTCCACCTCCGTGATTGACAGCCACCCATTTCACCTCGTTTTTAATTACACTCCAACCCCTCAATTTACCTGCCCCGAAACTACATCAAAGGAACCCTCCACGCACACCAAAGCTCCGCAGCACTGCACTTCCTGTTCTGCATGAGCAGCTGAGTGTGTGAACTGAAAGCTCGGGGTCTAATCCTGCTGCTGAAAGGGTTTCTTAAGCTCTGTGTGTCACTCAAGACTCAGTTTTCAACTGTGCATTTGTGTTTGGGTACGCAGCTCCGAGGCTCTTTGTGTTCAGTGTGTGGTCGTGTACTCACGTACACCTCGTTGAATTCGAGCGTGTGCGTGAAGACGAGTGCGCGTCTTTGAATCGCTCACACCTGTTGTAAGTCGTCACGAGAGCGGTGATTCATCCGATGAGTGGCGTTTCAGAAAAGCTCAAGGTCTGTTTACAGTGCAAACACACAAAGAAACAAGGGTCACATTCGTGTCACACACCCTTGTATGTTGTGTGTCGGGTTTTCAGCTCAGGCTCGACTTCATGGATGCACTTGAATTTCACTGTAATGAGACAGAGAGGCAAATATTCTAGTTTCCACTCGGAGAACTGAGGAAGTTTACATGCACGTGAGAAACCAGGTTACTGGGAGAGATCGAATTTGTAAGTAAAGCTGCTTTGAAACATGCACTAAGGTTTGGACATTTTCCTAAAATCTTCCAGAGAGGCTGAATGTGAGAACACGAATGTCCGAGTCAGTTGCTCCAGACATTTTCTGGAACTTTAGCTGCAGACCTATAATATCTTGAAAATATCCGAATGAGTCCATGTGAGAGTAGAGCAGGGAAATGGAAGAAAACAAATAAAGAGGAACAAGATTCAAAAGCTTTCGGTGATGAGGGCCAACGCTGGTGTGTCATGTCCTGTTTTCTGACTGACTTGCATCTATTGACGTCACAGTTTTTCCCCCTAAAGTGAAGATATCTGAATAGCTTCGCTTAGTTTTGGTAGCTGTATCTACGATCGATGGTTTCAGCTGTAAGGAATGAGTATTTGTTTTATCCTGCTGTCACAGCTGCTCTTTGTCTTCTTGCACATGTAGGTAAGCCATCAGCAGCATGGTAACATGTGCAGTAATCTGCTGTTTTCAGGAGAAATCTTGCAGGGAAATCAGGTTTATCTCAGGTTTATCTCGTCCTTTATCCGATTACTGAAGCAACATTTGGAAAATGACATTACAGCAGAAAGCCGTCAGTAACCCAGTTACTTAAACGTCCTGATTCTCTCTTCCCTGTCATCTCTTCACCAGACGGTCGTACAGTAACAGCTCCTGTGTTTGTGTGACAGCGAGAGTGAGGCACGGAGGGAGCAGTGTCTTTATTTAGCTGAGCTGTCGCACATGTTCCGTGTCTCTGCGGGGGGTTCTTTTCTGAAGTTGCACTTTTCAAACACTCTCAGCACTTTGTGCAAAAATCCTCACAAAGCTGCAGATTCACGAGGTATCAATTTCTCAAATATGACACATTCTTCAGCAGGAGAAAAAGTTCTGTGCAGCTTCTCTTCGACCTCTGTGTCCTGTTTGTAAAAAAAAAATCTCCTCCAAGAAAATGGAAACTCACTTCTCTGGAGAGGCAGTAAAAGAGAGAGAGTTTGGCAACTAATTATGAAGGAAGCTATTCAGATTATTCAGATGCTTGCTCTGCCTCGCTCCTCTCCTCCCCCCAGGCAGTGAAGGGTCTTTTCTGTCCCCAGAGAGTGATGTCAGCATGGCCCATTGAAAACAGCCGCCGTGCGCTGCGAGATGAATGCCCCGGCTCAACACAATGGCCCCAATTTGAATACCACGCGGATATGTGCCAGATCGGAGCCCCAACAAAAGAAGGAGGGCTACTCTGCTCCCATTCAACCATGTTGTTATTTTATTAGAGTCGTAAATTTGCTTCAACCATTTATACCTTTTGTAGTTTTCGAGTGTTTATGGAGTTTGAAACACGTGGACGACCTGACGGGGTTTCCCCCCCACCCCTACCCCCTGTATCCTGGACTGGATTTTGTTGGCTCGTAACTGATTGCCTCGGTTGTGTTTGTGTCTGACCGCAGATCTACACGGACTGGGCCAACCATTACCTCGCCAAGTCAGGACACAAGCGCCTGATCAAGGACCTGCAAACAGACGTCACAGACGGAGTGCTGCTGGCCGAGATCATTCAGGTCGTAGGTAAGGAAATCACACTTTTGATTTTAAATTCTGGAAGCTCGATCTTATCATGTGAGGGCTTAAAGAAATATGTGAAGCACGTCATAAAACAACATAATACAACCTTTTGATTTGATTGAACAATTTCAACATCAGTCCTGCCAAGAGTTTATTTCGAGATGAAATGATTTCTGCCAGATTTTAGGATGTGGGACACAGGACAAAAAACTTCTTCTCCATTTTGGATCTTTGTTTATGAGTGAAGTGTGACGATAAAGTGTTATTACCTCATTCAGACATTATGAAAAACGTACATGTATGTAGCTTTAATTCATATTTTTTAGTATCACTTGAGTGATTTTCACTGAAAGTTATTTCCCAGCAGGAATATGTTCCTCAAACAAAGTGAAGACAGAACACCAAATAACCAATTATAGAAACAACTTAAAACAGAGCTCATGAGAAAACAAACTAATCCATTATAGTGTTTCTACTTTACGTTCATTTCAGACCCTCTTTTAATCAGTGTCTCATTTTCACTTTGACCAACATTCAGTTTGAAATGTTTTCCGTCTCATGACTCTAGATTAAATTTGGCATTTTTTAATTCTTCAGCTCCGCAGTTCAATGTTTTCACATGACAGCAGATGAATGAGGACAGTGAGGCGAGTGCAAGCTGTGAGCGGTCCCTCTGTTCTTTTGACCCTCGTCTGTATCATCATCGCTCTTGTCATCTTGTCTCGTCTTCCGCAGTCTGTCATTTCTTCAGCCTGGAGGCTGAAGCAGGCCGACACCAGCTGACCAGTGACTCAGCATGTTGCTGACTCTCGGTGCTCTCACTCTCTTCCCCTGTGATTCTCACACAGACGCTAAATAAACACATACAATATATTGATCCAAAAGGTTTCTGAACACAGAGACATGGACGTATAAGTTATTTGAACAATTTTTTAGTTTTTGAGAAAAGATTTTTTCCTGCTTGTCTTTGCTGTCTGCTACAAGAAGAATGAATGTTCTAACGATAACAGTTTCTATTCTAGATTAGATTTAATGATTGCGTCAGTCCAGTTAGGGGCCGCCCGCAGAATACTCCAGAACTGAAATACAGGGCTGAGGTGCTTGAATTTCTTGAAAATGTCCACAGCATCACCCAGCTCCTTCTATAACACCCAGTATCTATTCCACACACAGTATTTACACAGTACATCCACTCTGACAGCTGACGACTCTCATTCAAACAACGCAAACAGAACCGTCTGTTCACCTGTTCCGTTCTGCTGCCTCTCGTCCAAATAGAGAAACCTCTCACCACACATTTCACATTTTGCTGGTGAAACCGGAGCAGCAGCCTGCTGGCGTCAGAACAGCCTCACTGGGACAAACACCAGATCGGATACGGCACCTGTTTATCAATTTGACCACCGAAGGTCAGGAAAAGGAAAACCTCCAGATTGGGCTCAATCGCTGAGGATAAACTTTCCTGCACATTTCAGAAAAATCTGTAACTTGTTTTGTCTCATGACACTTGAGTCCGGTCTTCATCCAGTCTGACTGCCGGGTTGTAACCAGACAAATTATGTCTGGTCATTGTTTATTTTTATTTTGGGAACATTTATTCAGTGTGGATGTTTTAATTGTGTGTCTCACAATTACAGAGTGGCTGTCTCTTGTGGGTGTCACTCACCACAGTGTGTATTTTATGTCAGGAAGCACACAAATCACAGCCAACAGTAGTGGTGTTATATCCTTCATGATTTAATTATGTTTGTTTCGGCTATTTATACAGACGTGGAATTCTATTTGCTAAGTTTGTCAAATATATTCAGTCATGATGATACTGATGATCTTTTTTAAAAACAATGCAATCATTATATCCTTTAAGATATCATTATTAGGTTTAGGTAAGTAGACGAGGATTAGATTTAAACGCAAGAAGCCTTTCGTAGATCCTTCAACTTTTTTCAATCTCAGATTTGAGTTTTCATTATGAGAAACCAATTATTAAAATATAAATCCAGATGAGGTACGTTAGATATAGTTAGATATATCTTTCAACAGTTGTTTTTCTGCACAAAGTTTGTCCTTCTGTTTAAATTGTATTTAATAATGATAATAATAATAAAATAACTTTATTTATATATAGCACTTTTCAAAAAACAGATCTGCAAAGTGCCTCACAAACATAGAAACAGATAAATTACGTACACAAACACAAATCTAGTTAAAATCAATATTTTAAAAACAAGATTTAACAGAGGACGAGGAAGCTTTTCTCCATTTTAAGAATCATTAAACTTGGATGAATATGATTATATCAGCAGGTGTCACATGTGGACGTGTGATGAGGGTCAGAGTCAGTTTTTGTGCCGTTATTTGATTCAGCACAGGATGCAGGGCTGTAGATGAAGTGTGGTCCTGAGGTGGAGCTGCGCTGTGGGGCCCACCGTGCCTCCTGATGCAGGAGGCTGTGTTTGGCACAGTTGTCAGCTGTGAGCCGGCGGCAGTGTCTCAGCTGCTGTGGGCCGGGCCTCTAATGGACGGGAGGAATCCCTGCCACCACACACACACACACACACACACACACACACACACACGCCCCCTTTGTAAAGAAGCAGCACGACCCTCCCATACCGCTCAGGCCCCCAGCGGCCCCGTTCCCATTTGTGTGACTAGATAGTGTTTCATGTCTCAGTGGGAGGAAAGTGGGGGGGTCAGAGTCACCGGCATGAACACCTCTGCTCTCCTCACTCCGCCAGAAACTGTCTGGACACTCACACACACACACACACACACTCACTCACTGGGATCTCCACTGGAAATAAAAGAGAGGATTAACCTAACCAAACACAGCTGACGAGAGTTTTCTGTCTCTCTTCTTTCACCTCTGTCTCTGCCTCCGCTTTTTGTTTCTCCTCAGCCAATGAGAAGATTGATGACATCAATGGCTGCCCCAAGAGCCGCTCTCAGATGGTAAGTGAGCTCCTGAGCTTGTTTTGGCAGAACGTCGTGAAGTTTACGCCTGTGTGAAGTAAAACACTTCCTCGTGTGACATCTCAGCGTCTCATGCCGCCCCCCCCGGCCCCCTCTCTCGGAGCTGCGGTGCAGAAGTCACTGGTGATAGTTGTAGATGGGGATGGTTAGTCCATTTATTTTTACTTTTGTGGTTTGCGGGCTGCCGTTAGTGAAACCTCTGGCTCAGACTTCTGGCAGTTGGCGCTCAGTTGAAAGCACCACAGACTTTGGTTTTTGGGGCCTCATCTTATTTCACTTGCAGAAGGAAAGTGAGTGAAAGCGGGCAGGGAGCTTCAGCTCCGATGACAAAGAAAATGTTTACAGTGAGTCGGGATGTGTTTTTGTGTTCGGTGACATTTAGCAGGTATGTAAGTGGGATTTCCTTCCCGGTGAAGCTGGTGGGATCTCAGGTGCTCTCGCAGTTTTGTGTTCTCAGTGGGAGTTGGCCCCGAGACAGGGCTGCCCTCCGCTGAATGTGAAGGGTCATAAATTGGGCCAGTGTGCCAGCTGAGGGGCTATTTCTGGCCACCTACCAGACTATTGAGGCCTCTCACAGCACAGAGAGGGACACACACCCCAATGGCTAACAACTGAAGCACAGCTGATCCCTGAACCCTCATCCACGTTTTTATTGTGCTCTGTTATCATGTTTTAGTTTTTACGTTTTGCTGATTTAATCATACTTCAGAGAATTCTCCTCTCTTGTAAATAACAAAAACCTCAGAGTCAGGATTTGTTCTCAGTTTATCACAACTGTTAGCAGCACAGAGCTGCAGCCTGCACCATGAATCACGTTCAGCATCGTCCTGGATAAGAACTCTTCTTTACTTGGGTTTCCTGTCCGAAAAAGACGCACAGATTTTAATTACACGTGACATCATCAGGACAATCAGAACAAAGTACCAGGGACCCATGGGAAAATCTTAAAATAGCAACAGCAAAAAGTTATATTCAGAGAGGTGTAAATACATGCAGCATAACTCCAATAGGTAATAAAAACACTCAGAACGTTGAGTGAGCATTTTGAAAATGTGAAGTACATTAAAAAAACAAAATAAATGTGGAATTGTTTCTGCTGCCAGAGCAAAGAGCAGGAGACGAGCAGTTAATGCCTGTGCAGGTTTATCTGTTTGAATTTACTGTATTTCTAATTTACTGGGAGCTAATTTTACAGCCTGTGGGTTATTTTTCTATTAAAAGACAATTGAGTTATCACCACCGAGCTGCCTCATCTTCTACTGAGCTGCACTGATGGAATAATAATGTGAAAGCGGAAGCAGAGACAAACCTATAACACGATTCTACTGAATTATAGAATAATCAGCTCTTTATTGTAAAGTGAGTACTATTGTCAGGATCCTGTAGTGACGCTGAATCTCTTTCTTGTGATGATTGATCACTTTTTTAAAATACATTCTTTAGATTTTGCAGTTGATCAACATTGTACAAAAATACCTCACGCATTGTGTGTGTATATCCCCTCCGACCCCTCCTCTCTCCCTTCACGTAGCAGCTACTGAGGAGAAACATATCAGATATATGTTTACTTTGTTAATTTGCTATATATTTTCCTCTTTTGACTGTTTACACTAAGTCTCAGTTCAGAATGTCTCCCCTCTCCGTCCCACTCATCATCCACCAGGCCTTTCCCTCAGCGGAGGACCCCCCCCTCACTGCTCTGCCTGTAATTGAGTATGTTGAGCTCACTGGTCTCGGTGGTGCGGGCGTCTCTCTCTGTGGTTTTTGTTGTGCTGTTATCAGTGTGTTGTCTTGTGTGACCTCTCTTCCATCCAGCTCCGCTGTCGTCTGCAAAACTCTGCAGAGACAAACCAAGTGCTTCAAAAAATATAGCATCTGTGATCATGATAAGACATGATGGTGTCAGGCAACAGAAATATATTTTTATAACGTGGATTAAAGCGGTGTCATATTCTTTATGGATAATGGAAATCAAAATCAACGACTCTACTCCGATGTTGCTGTGTGTGTGTCTGTGACAGAGTGTGTGTGGGCCGCTGTGCACAATCCCAGTAAGTCTGTCAGCTTAAAAGCAGAATCAGAGGCAGTCAGGCAGCGCAAAGGGCAGGTGCAGCCGCAGTCATTATGCAAATGTCTGCTTTGTGTTTTGTCTTACTGTCAAAACAAACACACAGACACACAAACACACACACACAGACAAACACACGGGGGTCCTGAGAGTGCAGTGGGCAGCTGAGGTGGACGAGTACGTGAGCCCACTTTACTCCACTTGATTTCATTGCTTTAAAACCTCAGTGAAGCTGCTGCCAATTACCAGCGTTTAACTCAACCTCTGTCTCTAAACGAGTAAACATGGAAATAAGCTCCATCAGTGGAAGAAACTGTCACACCCTCCTCTCACACTGACGTCAGCCAAGGAGCATTATGGGTAGCCAGGCCCAAAGAGAGCGGCTGTTTTTACAACTGTCACATCCTCGTGAAACCGACCCCCATCGTCGGGTCATTCCTCTACCACCCAGTCAGTCCAGAGCGCCGGGCGTTGATGTGACACTTAGCTGTTGAAACCACACAGGAGACCAAACACACACAGAGAGACACACAAACAAACACACACGGGGTCTCGTACATGTTGAGGCAGCAGCTTCTGAAATGAACAGGACTTCACCTGTCGGGGAATCTTCAACAAGGACTAATAAGAGATTTATTCACTGACATTAAACATCGTATTAAATCATTAATCCATTTCTTCTTGACATTTTTATTTGAATTTCCTTGACATTTTATTCTTGACTCAAAGGGTTTGGATTTGCAAAAAGTTTTTTAATTCTGGTTTTGTCTCATTTAAGTCAGACTCTCTTGGACAGATTCTTGTGTTTATTTGCCTCTGCATAGTTTGCAGGATTACGCAATTACCCCGATTCACCCTCTGGTGCAGCAGCGTCATTTAAAACTTCCACACACCCACCACTTCACCAGAGAGCTCACAGTCACGTGTGTCTGTGTAGTTTTAGTCTGTCGGGAGCGTGCGCAGTGAGGATCACAGATTCAGACTGGCGTGTTGATGGATGTAGATTCTGTTGTCGTCGTCTTGTACATGTTGAAGCTTTTTGCAGGTAAGAATCCACAGGTTGGTTAGTGTTTGATCAAAGGGAGAGGTACTTTCTGTGTTTACGTCCGTGTGTGTGAGGCGGAGGAGGAGAAGAGAGAGAAATCCCCGGTTCTGTCAGCTGGTCAAAACTCGGTCCATCACATGAGGGACTGAAAACAACCGAGCGATCACGGTTACTGTTACTAAGCAACCAAACACAAGTCCAAATCTTTATTTCTCAGACACAGAAAGCTGCTGAACCACAGTCAACAAAAGCTTCCTTTATTCAGATGCTGCTGTATTTCCTTGTTATCCCACCTTTGCCACACTTTACCATATTCTCACTCTCTCGCTCTGTGGCTACATCCATATGTTTTCGTGACTCCTGCTGTGAACAAACAGTGCTGGTGAACTAAATAAGAGAAACGCTAATTAGCCGTGCGACCTCTGACGCAGACTGAGCCAGAGAGGTGATCACATGATGTTCATTTTATTTTGTCCACCCCTTGTACATAAACACTGACTGTCTGTACCATGCTCATTTCAAGAGATCTGTTTTGATAAACAGTCGATTCACCCATAGGAGATGTGACACAGTTATACTACAGCAACTACAGTCAGTTATACTACAGCAACTACAGTCAGTTATACTACAGTACCTACAGTGTCTGATGGTACTGGGTTTATTTATTTGAAGGATTCTACTAAATCAATTTCCACCAAACTTGTAAGAGGCCTGGAAAGGACCCATTACATTTTGCTGTGTTCTATGACAAATGTATAATTTGTGTTATCAGGCCACTTCCTTCTTTCTCTTGTATTTCCATGAGAACCAGACAATCACGTGTAGGATTGTTCGGCCCTGGCGGAGCTGACACGTTTAGCCAAACAGGCTGTGTAAGAAAACAAAGGCAGAGACTGTAGGTCACCTACTTTGGAGGATGCAAGGTCCACATGGCCCATGAAGGAGGCGGTCTTTGTGGTCCACATAGACGGCAAAGGCTGAACTGAAATGATGCATCCTGGTCTACAGAGAATCTCTGTGATCTGTGTCCCCAGCACACATCGTCCTCGTTGAGCTGCAGTGGAACGTGACAGTAAAGTTTGAATGCCCCTTGGTTTTCTAACATGAACTGCTCTGTTGAGTTAACGCATGATGTTCAAGCATCTTTTCACAGAAGTGCAATGAATTCTGGGATAGGTTAGGCCGCGAAGCATCTTCCCCTCGTTTTCATTGAAATCACTAACAGCTTCCTGAAGTATTCTGACATGAAAACAGTCAAATACAAAAAGTTGTTGCATAAGATTTTCTGTCAGCAACTTTGATTTAAAAATATCAGCCTCAGTTTCAGTGTTCTGTCATTTTCTGCTTCAGACTCACGGTCACACTCCCTCCCTCCAGCTCTGTTTTTCCTCTCTCTCTCACACACACACACACACACACACACACACACACACACACATCTCTGTGATGGGAGGTGGTGTTTGTTCAGAGGGTTGTTGGCTGCCCGGCCTCACGCTGCTGCCAGGAGCCGGAGCAGAGCAGGAGGTGACGGTGGTGTGGAAGGAGGCGTGAAGCCTGAGAGAGCAGATCTTTCCTCCAGGCAGGTACGAGCTTCCATACTGAGTCCACCCAGTCCGCACAGAGCTGGAGGCGACACTTTGACTGTGTGGATTTCTGCCTGAGCTTGAATTTATTTTGTTGTTGTTGTCATTTGCTCACTTGTTGCTGCTGTTTGAATTCTTTTCATGTTTTCAATCATTTATCAGCCAGTTGTCTCAATCTTTAGAGAACAGAAGAGAAAGGAACCAAAGATTAAACCCAATAAATTTAGTCTTAAATGTCTTTTACTTCCAAAAATAGAGACATACTTAGCATTTCTACATTCCTGTTGTTCTTAAGCAAGATTCCGCTAAAAATACATTACGGATTATCATCAAACTTGGTGGACAGATGCAGAACAGGACAGCAAAGAACTTCTGGTGGAGTGGGGGCTGATCCACATGTCTTAATCACTTTCTTCGACATTGTGAGTTTGTCAACATTTTCACTGACTTTCTGGGGAATGATTCATGGATCTTGATGAAAAAAAAATTGATTTGAGTGTATGGAATTTGGTGCAGCTAAATTAAAATACAGTTTCTGTTGGTAAATTGTCAAGACAATGTAATGTCTCAGTAAATCATCACTAATGGATGTTTACTTTTTATTGATTTTTGCCTCCACAGAGAGGAATGACAAACCGAAGATTAAACAAACAGCATCTCAAACTTCTCGGCCGTGTGGACGCCCTGTAGAAAAACTAAATGATCTCAACTCATGGAATATATCGATCATCACAGGCAGATTGAAGATTTACAATTAAAGAGAAACACAGGCAGGTTCTTTCAGTTCATTTTCAAAGATACAATTAATCCTGGATGCTCTGTGCAGAAGTTGTTCTTCTATCAATGGCGTTATGTCGCTCCGGTCCTGTCTGTCAGTGACAAGTTTCAGTATTTATACCCCCTGAGAGGCGGAGCTCGGGTTCGTCTCAGCAGGACGGGTCCTAATGAAACATATTTTCTGTAGGCTGCTGCTATTTAAGTAACAACCATACCATGGGAATTTGGAGCAGTAGGGGAGTGGTTCAGTCCCTCATGTGAAGTTTAGGCCCTGGGGTATTAAAGAAAGTCTGTGGGTATTTCAGTGGAGGTCAGAGGGGTGTTTCAGAGAGAGGTTTATTTTTAAGGCACTGTTGGTATTCAGAGAAGGACACAGTCTGCATTCCTCCTGTTCCAGAGTTTTCTGCTGTATCACCTCAGAGGACGACATATGTCAGCCCCTCTAACAGCTGTTTCTGGGGTCAGAGGTCACAGAAATGACAGCATGAGGCAGTACTGCAGTTTCAACTCAATCAGTGACCGGAAGTCTGTTGGCCTTTTCTTTAACACACGTTATTGTTCGGGTGGCCGTGGCTCAGAAGGGACATAGAGGACGGTCGTCCACCTACCTGAAGGTCAGTGGCTCCTTCCCTGGCTCCTCCGGTCCTCCAGTAACCGCTGTGCTGCAAGTGTGCACGAGTAGGATTTAAGATTCAGTGTATGAATGTGAATAGGAGAGGGGTGAATATGACTACTTCATGCTGTGGATTCGTTATTGCAGGTGTAGTGTCTGGTTTGTTACAAAGGAATATTAGGTGGAAATAATCTTTTGGCACATTATCAGAAGCATCAGACTTTGAAACGACGTTGCAAATGATATTTAACTTGAAAAGTAAATTTCCCTCCACTTGTTTTAAGTTTGATTTTATAAATTCAAAATCAAACCTTGAACTTCCTGTTTCCAAAATGTTCTAACAAATGCATTATACTAGTGAATAGAAGCAACATACGTGTAACATACATGTAGTAATGGTTGTAACTATCAGCGACACAGTTGCAGATCATTAGTGTATTTTCCACCAGTGTCTGCAGTCAACGGACGTCAGCATGGTTTAATACAGTTTTTCACCTCAGCTCCTCACCTCACAGTCGGGTACTTCCTAACAGGAGAAACACAGAGGGAGCTCTGGGTCAAGCTAAATTTAGTCACCGCACATTAAGTGTAATCATGTCATTAATCTTTAGAGAGTGGGGCAGCCCACACCCAGCCTCTTTCACAAAGGACGTGGTTCATATGTGTTTTAGTTTAGAAACCACACACACACACCTGTCGTATCTCCACTCTACATCTTTCCTCCCTCGCCTGTAAAATCAAATTTAGCCCGTTACACTTTAAAAATAGCTTTGTCCTGAGCGTAGTGTTGCAGATGCACCTCATTGTGTTGTAAAACTACCCTCACATGAATTAAATGTCAGTCTCAAGAAGATATAGCACCTCTTTAACCTCAGTGCTTACTGTAAATGTGTGTAAATGTCAGTGCTTTAGTTAATTGTCACTTATAGTCGAACACTATGTAACGTGGCAGAGAGACGACTGAGCCACGTTGACGTATTTCCATGTTGTACCTGGTGTGTCTGCTCATTAAAAACAACAGTTGGTAAACTGTGATGGCACAGTCACTCATCTGCAGTGACTCTTGCTTGTTGACTTGTTTTATGTGGTTTACTTTGTGATTATGTGGTTCAGCCAGCAGGCATAATGGCTCACATGGGCTCTAAACAAAGCCCGTCTGCCTATCAAAGCCTCTCGCAGTCCAGTGACAGCTCAGCAGTCTGCTCAGGTTGCCAGGGCCGCTGTCATGGCAACTGAGGCGGTATAGATGGTTACCGTAGCTCCGCTGATGAACGTCTGCTTGGTTGAATCATATGCAGCTATATGACAATACCAGTGTGTTTAATGTGACCTCAGGAAATAATAATAATTCTGGTTCTGCCTGGACTTCAGGGTTGCAACCTTGATAACTAATATAGAGAATTCATATGTCGGATTCACTTTAATCTTTATACAAATCATTCTTGCATATTTAGGAGGTTTTCGCCTCTGTCCCTTTGTTTGCTGGGTAATTTTGTTTTTTATAATCAAGATTACACAAAAACTATTTGACAGATTATCAGAAAACTTCGTTAAAAGATTCAGAATGTGTCGGGGAAGAACCCTTTACATTTTGGTGTGGATTCAGATCAGGGGGTGGATCTAGGCTTTTCCTTTTTTTTCTTTGACATTGTGGGAATGTTTGATAATTTTACTTAGGGTTAGAGTTAAAAAAATCTCATATCATATATATGTATAGAGTTTGTGAAATTTGTTGCAGCTTGATTAACAGTCGGGTCTCTTTTCTGATCATTCTAAAAGGCTAATAGATTTTATGCCTTCCCACTTTCAGTTTTGCCGTTAGGCTCCACAGGCTTCTTCTCACATTATGAGATTATGCACATTTGCTTGGAGATGCAGTGTCTCACAGCTGCTTCTATGTCTGTCTCTGCAGATTGAGAACATCGACGCCTGCCTCAGTTTCCTGGCAGCCAAAGGAGTCAACATTCAGGGTCTGTCTGCAGAAGGTAGGCTGGACCCCTGCACTTCTGCAATGAGCAGTAGAACCCAAACCTCGGCTTAATTACACATGAATATATACATTTCATGCTCGTACTGATATTTTCCTGTGATACCAAATAACTGAGTGAAGGCAATACAGGATTGTCCTTCTTCTCATCAATGTCCTAATACTTCACGTTGTCCTTCTCTTTGACCCACAGAGATTCGGAATGGTAATCTGAAAGCCATCCTCGGCCTCTTCTTCAGCTTGTCCCGCTACAAACAGCAGCAGCAGCAGGCCCAGCGGCAGCCGTCCCTCCCGTCCCAGAGCGCACACCCGCCCCTGAGCCAGCAGAGCAGCGCCCCGGCCCAGCTCGGCCACTCTCCGCATGGGACTCCTGCCCTTACAGCCCAGAGAGCAGCGCAGGCCGAGATGCAGTCCAGGTGAGACGAGCGGCCTACGTAACCTTGGATGAATGGCTCTGTCTCTGGATTCTTTGCTTTCTTTCTGTTTCTCCTCTTCTTCTAATCCATAATATTATCACCTCTGTCTTCCTGTTCACACTTCCTGTCATTTATAACTGTAACCCTGACCTCTCTGTCTCTGTCCTCTTCCACATCTCTCTTCCCCTCTCCTCTAGGGATGGATCTCAGAGTAAACTACTCAAGTTTTCCCTCGGTCAGAAAAAGACCTCTAGGTCAGATTCTCCTGCGTTTGTTTTCTTGCTCCTCCCCCTCTTTCCACCACCTCACCCCGTGTCTCGTCCCTTTCCAGGAAATAGGAAGGTAGAAATTGCCCCTAATCAAGGATAACATTTCTTTTGTACTCTAATGTTGTTTCTTTGTCTGTGGTTAAGGGCAATCTCTACCCCGAGCACCATCTAATATGCATGAGTGGTAGTATTGAGCAGATAGCGACTAAAGCCCCAGGCTCAGTTTTTGGACGGCCCTGTCTGTCTCGCACCGCGCCTCATTTGGCAAGTCTGCTAAATGGGCTGTGAGAGACCTTTAGATAACCTTTAAGCAAGCGTGTGCACACTTGTGCGTGTGCGTCCGCTTGACAAGCACATCGGCCATATAACGTGACGTTAATAATTAACACGGGAGGATTCTGTGGCTGGAATGTGTGTTTACAGTGTCGTTCAAATGTAGCTTCGGTTTTTGCGTTTTTTTGGAGTGATGCCTTTACGTCTGTTTGCGTTCACGTCCCTGCCTCAGTTTTAGCATGTGGCATCATATTATGTGATAATGCACCTTGAAATTGGAGTAAGGATGTGGTTTTGCATGCTGCCCATCCCGCACTCCGTTTGCACTGCACCTGCCCCACACCAGCTGCTCTCTAAAGCAGTGCAATGACGCCACCCTGAGGCCAATGTTTGTAACTGCAACATGAAGCACTGGGAGTCCCTCTCCACTCAGAATATTGTGTGCTCCCTTTTAATGGACCTTTGCCTTCTAGATTTATATGAGCATCCTCAAAATGAGCTGCATTTTAAATGTGCTTAACACTATATATATATATATATATATATATATATATATATATATGTGTGTGTATATATAGTTAACTTTGAGACATAAAAGATTCTAAATGAAAAGCAGTTAGCTGTGAGATTATTGTAATAATCACCAATCAGTCTTATTGTTTTCTCAAAAAATAAAAAAATACTTTAGTTCATTTCCATATATTTGGACCAGAGCAACACCTTTTGGTATTTATTTAATCCTTTTCTCTAAGTGAAAAGAGTGAGCATCTAATTTCACATTTTATATGTGAAACAATCAAGCCTGATTCCACTTTAGCTTTAAGTTGATCCAGAGACAAGTTGTGGTCTTTAACTTCTGAGAAATTACATAAAGATATCTAATATCATACAGACATACTTACATTCTTTGAATCTGGTATTTCAAATAACAAGAAGGTTCTGGGTTCGAACCTGCGAGCTGACCAAGGCTTTTCTGTGTGTGTGTGTGTGTGTGTGGCATTAATACTACTGATAAAAGCCAATAGGGGATCCCCCCCCCCCCCAGCTAAACAGCTCATAGTGTGCTCTGACTGTTTCTGCCATAATTGCAAGTCAAATGAGCTCAGACCCTAACCCTAACCCTGACTAAATAATATGGTGAAACCTATTACCTTGCAATGGTTAGATAAATAACGGTCGGTCAGATTGAGTGGCATGCCGGAAATGACAGTTTCTATAATGTACACAAGAGCTGACAGAGAGCTGTAATCTGCTTATCAGCATCCGCCTCAGTCCCAGGATGATGATGACGACGACGCCAGCACTGGTAAATTAGCATTTTATTAGCAGCCCATGTGCCACGGCCTGGTTAGATTACATAGATGTCACCAATGGCAACAGATCGTTTTACAACATGGAAGAAAAGTGTCATAAATTCCACCAAGGTTTATCCACCGGGGTTTGTCCATGTGGAGAAATAAAAGGAGCAGGATGTGTTATCTCCGATGTATATGTATGCATTTGTCTCAGGAGCATTCAGTGTCAATAAAAGATTATAAAATAGCATTTAATAGTTGAATGGCACTAATTTATCACCAAGGTCTAACAGTCCACTGAAATTCAATCAAGCCACATCAAATTTTATGCACTGAAAGATATCAGCCGGATTATTTTTCATCAATATATCTGCATTATCACCTATATCATAATGTTCTCTGTCTGTTAGTCAGAGGGAACACATACAAACTACTGAAGGGATGACCACCAAGTTTCTACTTTTGTGACATTTTCATGAAATAAAGTGATAATAAATAAAATAATAATGAGATCGTCCCTGGCTTCGAGCCCACCCATCCATCACGTTTCAAGAAACTCAGTTCAGTACTTTTTGCATAATCCTGCAAATAGACTAACGTCAGTCAGGACATAAGAGCAACTTTGTGACTGCGAGGTGAGTGTAATCACAGATCTGAGGTAGGTTCGACCCCGCAGCCAAAGAAGAAAACCTTCAAAGTCAAGTTTATTCAATGAGTTCATTAACATTCAGGATGTTGAGGTCACAAACTGAAACTGTGGAAAACAAAGTCGATGGTCAGATATTTTGGCAGCTGCTCTTTAAACAGCTTATAAATATTAATGACTTTATTTGTGCAGCACTTTTCTAAACATGAGATCTTAGACAAATAACAATAAAAGGATGTGAAATGAAGATTTGTTTTTACAGTGAAATCTTTATTAGTTGCTGCCTGTACCTGAAATGTGATGTAGATGCTACAATTGTGTTGTACTTTGCACCCGACGCTCCACTTACCTTTGCAGTGGGTTCAATAAATGTGTAATAAACCTGCAAGCGCAGTCTGCAGTGACCCCTGTGCTCTCAGCCCTAAACGTAAGTGGTATCCTCCTGTTTGAGTTTACAAGCTGTAGACAAGATGTTTGTCCTTAGAGAGGGTGTCATAAACCTGGAGGAACCTGTTGAGATAAACAAACTAAATTTTGTGGCCTGTTTATGTCCCTTTTCTCTCTCTCTCTCTCTCTCTCTCTCTCTCTCTCTCTCTCTCTCTCTCTCTCTCTCTCTCTCTCTCTTGCTGTCTGTCTG